CTTCTCTTCTTAGTTTCGACATAGTCCAGCGCGAAGTTACGTCGAAATAGTTCAGGAAAGACGCGCTGTCGAGTTCGCTCTTACAGCAAGTCATCACATCTCTCGTCGCTTGGCGACCGGTAGGATTAACGTTGAAAAAAAAATTGCCGAATTGACCAATGGGAACGCATACGGGTAGCCGAGGAAGAAGACTAAAGGCGTCTCGGACCCGCAGGAAAGATAGATATTGGGGTTTAATGAAGGTCCCAAGACTTGGATCACCGAGCTCAGCGATCGTCGCCGAGCGAATCCGATTCGCATGGTCTTTCTCTTTCGATCTCTCCTCCGTCTTTCTTCTCCTCCCCCGCCCCTTTAATACCCACCATCCCCGCACAGCGAGATTCCTTTTTCCTCCCGCGTCGTTTTCCCTCGGTGTCTCTTCGCGGAGAAATGTTCGCTTCTTCCCCCCTAGCTCCTTTCATTCTCTTCCCCCTTTTTCCCTCTCTCGTACCGACTCGTCCCGTCTAAATCGCGTGCTTAATATTGCACCGTTTCGGCCGCGCGTTCGCGGCGGCGGCAGCGGCGGTAGCGGAATTATTTATGACGACGCTCGAAATTCATATTCACCCGTGGCATTCATCGCGAATTCGACCGCGTTTCGGCTCGTATCGGCCGCGTCCGGCCGCGCAAATAATGCAGAATACCGCTGGTGCGCGCGATTCTTCGACTTCACCTCGTCTCGCCGAAGGAAAATATCCTTCGATTTCGTGTCCGAGCGCAAATCCTGCGCTCAGCGTGAATCCCACAACGACTCCGTGTGTTGTTATGTATACTGAGAGAAAACATGATTTATATCTAACTAAAGTTACAGTTACTTTCGACTCCAAGTATATGCTTTGATTGGTTGTTCTAACCAATGCACCGAGAGAAAAAATATCTAAGCAATAGTTAATATTTATTTCACGAGTACTAACAGCATATTTACCTATACTAATGTAAAATATTTTTTAAGTAAGAAGATATAGGGGAAACCGTGATTAGATATATTTCGAAGTTATACAACTTCTCAGGCTAATTGTTGTGACTGACTGCATAAATAGAGGCAACCTTCTTCTATATATTAATCACGATCTCATATATTTTGTTTTGTAATAACCAAAATACAAACATGCAGCAACGTGGCCATTTTGCCTTGATATCGAGTTCAGTTAAGCAAAGATAGCGCAAAGAACATATATAAAATACATATTTTGATTAGTAGTTCCGAAGTCACCGCGAGAGATTTCCAAAGTCCTCCTGGCGGCTTTTAAATGTAGGCCAACTTTACCTCGTTTACCCGTATGCTCTATTTAAATTATTTTATATATAAAAATTTCATTTATTAGCAAAAACAATATGTCATATACTTGCAAAAAATTTCATTTTAGCTCGTAACGCATCACTTAATTTTATTCAGTCACGATGAAGAATATTAATACAAAATCCCAAGAGGCTAAAAAATTTACTTTGCTATTGCTAAATCACTTTTCTATTTCTTAACTGTAATATTATTGCATATAAGTTATTATTCATTATTACTAATATTATAGCAAAATTTAATATAAAAAAATGTTTCTCTTTAGAATTTATAGTAATTATAGAATTTACAGTAAACTAGAATTTACAGTAATTATTTCTCTATGTAATTAGAGCTACAAATACCAGACATTTTTCTCAGTATATAGATCCGCAAATGCAGGAGTTCCGCATCAGTGAGAAATTTATTACCTGGACAACGAGGTTGAAAATCATGTGTTATCTTTGTCGCATATCCGCACGGATAATTAATAGTTTTTGTCGACGTGGAGTCACGAGGAACTGTGGCGCGCGAATAATCGCGAGGAATGAGAAAATCGAACGAGCCGAGCGTAAATTACCGTTGCCTTGTCGATAATGGATTATCGTGTTTACAACAATCGGCTCCGTAATAAACCGCGAATATAGGAGTAACGTTAATCAATGAGTAACAATTCTAACTAACACGCATGTATCTTTTGAATACATTTTTAATTCTGCCTGGTTTATTCGTTTCCAGCGCGCTCTTAACACGCTCGAATGAGCTCTCATGTATTTCAATATGATTTTAATTAAACGCAGTATCATTCTATATTTTATAAACACGAACTGTGTTTGTGTGTATGTGTGAGAAAAAAATGAAAGGTTCATGAGAAAATTAAACTGCTCGACTGCGACGAAGTGCACGCGAACGTCATAAGCCATGGTTTTATTACCACTTCGCTACATTCAGGGAATAATACATAATAATGGCGAATAGTATACACTGGAGAGAAAAATATCTAAGAAATAAAAAATATTGGTTCGGTGGATACTGATAACATATTTGCTTAAATCTAAATTCTTTCATTGAAATAGAACAAACAATTGCTTTCATGAAAAGTTAAGGTTTCAAAGGAATGTATATTTCTCCTTAATTTGAAAAATATTTTATATCAGTATAAGTTATTAATTCTCACCAAATATTAGTATTTTTTTTTATTTCTTAGATATTTTTTCTCCTAATATAGGTTCTGTATTACATACAGAAAAAACAGTGAGAAAAATCCCTCTGTTCCTTCGGAACAAAAGCACATTTACTATTTCATGATCGTTAGGGAAACAGGTCGAACAGCTACTGTTGCAAATCATTTCTCATGATTTGTCATTTTAACGAATATACATTGCCTGAGATACAAATCATATTTATTCTCGTCTATTTGGGTTAGGTTAGTTATGTCTCCATTACTGAAACGTTGCTTAGAGTGGCAAATTGAAAGTAACAAATCATTTATTCCCACTACGGGGTCATAAATTATTTATTTAGTCATAGTTCATAGGTCATAAGTTATTTATTTAGATATAGAGTTATTCGCTATCCCATATCAATAAATTTGTTGCGAATACTGATATTTTGTCAAGTTAGCGAAACTTTTTCTCTCAATATATTGCACTACTAGATTTTTCTGTATGTCAACCTATTTTTTATTATATTATTTTTTCGTTTATACGAGTTTCGTATATAGAATCAAAGAATCGTTTAAACTATTTTAAAAAATCGATCGGAATAATTAAAATCGAGTTGAGCAAACTCAATTACGAGATTGTATATAGCGAATTAATTGCTTTAATTCTTTTAGCATAATTTTGATGTTCTTGTAATCTCTTGCTTGTACCAAACGAGCTAAATATTCAGCAAACAACAAATGAGTTACTAAGTGTAATAACAAATAAGAGGTTTAACTCAACTTTTCTTCTGAATTGAATGAGCTAATTATATTGTCAAAGAAAATAATAATATAATATTTCATTAAATTCTTCCTCAATGTAATATGTATCGTGATAGACCGTTAATTTGAACAAAGTCTATCTCGCTTATTATCCAAAAGAAATTAACAATTTTAACTTAACAATAAAAAAACAATAATTGACAACTGAAAGTGCCAGAAGCGAGAAAACTTCAATAAAAGCGAACCTATGAGATAATACACACACGATCACATATTATATAAAGTGGTGAAACTTGTATCTCTACGCTTATATCTCTACGCGACGAGAATTTATTTGCGAACGAGCGAGGTAACACAATCTATTGATGGCAGTTAGTTACACTATAAAAAAATTAAATTAAAATTGGATTATATATGGCAAACTAATCGCTTTAATTTTTTTAACATAATTCTGATGTTCTTGCAACTTCTTATTTGTATCAAAAAGCTAAGTATTTAATACAATTTATTAACCATAATACTGCTTTGACTATCCTGAAAAGTAAACGATAAACCAAATGAGTTGTCAAGTGTAGTAACGAGTAAGAAGTTCAACTCAACTTTTTCTCGAGTTAAATGAGTTACATCAAACAGATATATCAAACAGAATAAGATAATATTTCATTAAATTCTTCCTTTATATAGTTATTATGTAGTCATTTGATAAATCATTAATTTAAATGGCGTCTAGCCTGTTTATTATCCAAAAGGAATTAACGAATTTAACTAAAAATTTAACGATCTAACGATCTAATGATTTCGACTTAACAATAAAAAACATAATAGTTGGTGCCGAAAGTGCTAGAAGCCAAAAAACTTAAAAAAAAGTGAACTTGCATAGTCAGGTCCTACGCAAGTACACACACGCTCGCATATCATATAAAGTTTCAAGAGTGAAGCTTACTCGCTTATATCTCTATGCGACAAGAATTTATCTGCGAAGCAAAGCGAGATAACCAGCACTAATCTATCGATGACTACTGAATTGTGTATCTGAATTCTGTGTATTGTAACTTATTCAACAATCTTGAGGAACTTTTTATAATGATTTTTTCAAGTTGAACAAATCTTACAAACGTCCAGTTATCAAAGATATTAGTTAACGTAGTTTATACGTTATCATATAATGTACTTTTAACTTCCCACATCCAAAGAATAGTATTACTTATATTATACAGTTAGATCAACCTTTTTCGTTAGTTGAAAGAAACTTACAACATCCATATAACTACATTTCCATTTCTATTAATCCTTTACTTTTGACCAATTTTTTTAATTCAAATTTCTACGTCAGATTATTGAATAGACTTTATTTTTACTCAATTTGACTTGATTACAATTGATGCAACTAAATTTGCTCAATCCAGAAACCTGGTTTGTTTTACTCAATCTTTTTTTTCAGTATATATAGTTTGATAAATTACTATATATATTAGAATATATAATTATTAGATATATATAATATATAATATATATAAATTATAATATATGAATTTGATAATTCATAATTTATAATATTTATATAATATATATATATATATATATATATATGAAATAAACATTGTAACTCTCTAAAACTAATAGTTAAGAAAGCTATAGAGAATCAGAGAACTATATATAGCTCTCGTAACCATTTAACTTAATAGTTGCAAATGTAACAACATATCGATCTCGTGTACAGCGTCAATTAAATAATGCGGATGCTTCTTTCTCTTTCAGTTGCAGTGTTGCGGCGTCGAGGGCCCGAAGGATTGGGACCGCAACAATTATTTCAATTGCTCGTCGAGCGACATCGGCTCGAGGGAAGCGTGCGGCGTGCCTTTTAGCTGTTGCAAGCGGAAACATAATGTAACTCTCACGTTGATCGATAGTCGCGATCGCGCTACGACAGCGCGATACGTTTCCCGGTTCGCGAGCCTTTCACGCACCGTCGAAAGTTAAGCAGTCCTCTTATTTGTTTCAGGAAATCATTAAAAATAAACAATGCGGCTACGATGTTAGGAAGCCCAGTTACGTAAGTATATCTTTTACTTTTACGTAATATTAATGCGCGAGACGCGCATGTAGACGTTCTCGGTGAAAAAGGTTTTTTTATTTTTGCGCGTATATTGCGATTAACGATTAAGGGGATGCCATACTTGAGAACTTTGCCAACAAAATACGGACTTCTTTTTTGCAAAATTTACGTCGTATTAGTTTTGCATAGAATTACAAATGAAAGTACGTGCGAAAATGAATTTAAAGTACTGCTTGATACGTGACGGGAACGATACAAAATTTCAAAATTGACATCTCGAGTTGTTAGCATAAATATTCAGCTAATACAAAGTTTTTGCAGCCTCTGCACATCGAATGTGCATTTGCTCTGTTGAGGATGATTTCTAGGAACATACACATTGCTGTACCTATACAATTAAATTTAAAAACTTAAAAAATACGCGAATATTTCTACATAAACGTAGTCACGCGGAAAACACAATATAATTAGCCCATACTTAAATCTGGTTGTGCCGACCAGATTCAATATTGAATTTTTTTTCGTACATGTTTTCTGCTAAATACAGGATGTTCGGTAACTCACAGAGGAGCCGCGGCGTACAGTTCAAGCTAAACAAAAAAATTACATAGATATTTAATTATTAATTAAAAAAGATTGGTGCATCAGCGCACTATTATACACCAAACTTCTTTAATTAAACATCGCTACTACAACTTATCTACCATGTGGCGTAAATCATTCACGAATCTCCTTTGATTAATAACTTAAAATTTTACATAGTTATTTCCAAAATGGTAGAGGAATTTTTTGTTCAGTTTGACCTAATCTACCTAATCTACACTGCGGCTCCTTTGTGAGTTACTAGACACCTTATATAGTAAAATAAAGCAGCATACACATTTTATACAAAATGTCTATATGCAAAATCCACGTACAAAATCTGCATGTACAAGAAACACGAAAAGGGTAGAGTGATCGTGTCACTGCTTGTCTGACGTGACGTTTTGACAATCGTCTCTACATTATCGTTTTTGGAGTTCGTGGCTCACTTTGGCATCCCCTTAACGCAAGTACATTAATCGAAAACTTGTGCGAGCATTACAAATGCTGCTCATCCACAACCTCCGTTTTTACCCTCCACACTCTCACAGCCGCCTACATTTACACACCGACAACGACATCCTAATATTCCGGCCGTTTCTAGTTTCACCTTGTTTCCGATTCGGAACTTGCGTCATTTCGCGCCGTCATGCCGTTACGGGGGTCCCATCGGAGTAAACCGAGAGAGCGTGCCCCGCGCACAGGAGAGCCGCATAATTTGTCTTTGGAATCGCGCTGTGTATCGCGTTCCAGATTCGAGATAGCGAGGGTAGTTCTCGCGCGGTAGCTGCGCGCACGGCGCGCGCGGTCCGCGCGATTACACAATGTCTACACGGCCGCGCGGGAGGCAGAGAGGGGGACAAAAACGATCCGGGTCAAGAAACCGTGGAACTTAATTAGAGAGAAAATGGTCGAGTCCGGAGAGTGAGAGGGTGGGTCGGTCGAGACTAGAGGGGAAGCGGAGGAGGGGTAAGAACTTCTGTGCCGGCTCCTATTTTAAGAGTAGGTATATCATTCCCGCGGTGTAATGGGGCTGAAACCCGCCCCCGGGCTAATTACGTTTTCACCGTGAAGCCTCCATCGCTTAATTATAGTTTTCGCCGGGCGACCGTTAATGCGCCGCGATATACGGTTACGAGCCGACGAAACGCCGATAAAGCAGATAAATAACGACAAAGGACTCGTTCCGCACCGGGATGTTGGCGCAGCTATTGATATCGCGGCACGGCTGTGATGTTGCGTAACGCGCATCGAGCGCGCCACGTCGCGTGCAAATTGCAGTTTATAACGCGAGCGAACGGGATTTCGAGAAGTATATGGTTCGCGCGCCGGACTAACTTCGCGAGCACATTGAGGAGGAAATGCTTGACACTTTTGTAACTGTGGTCATATAGAGAAATAATTGCTACAAATTATGGTCAATCAAGAAGATCATTTTCTCTTCTCTCTCATCAAGTTCTACTATAACGTTACACGGAGAGAACTTTAGTACAGATTACTGTGCGATTGTATAACCGAGGAGTAGACCGACGTCCGCTTCATCCTTTCATTTCATATGTGCCTACTTATATTTTAAAAGCTGAAATATATAATATAATATTAAAATATGTGCTGTATTTTTAGCGAACTCTACTACGTTTCTGGTACATTTCATTTTACGTTATTAATACATAATAACCAGAGTTGAAAACATTATTTAAAAAAAGTAACGCGTTACATTATCGTTATTAAAAAAAAAAGTAACAGTTCTCATTACTTTTTTATAATACTAAAATAAAATATGTAATAGATTTTAAGAAGATTTTAAGATTTTATTGTTTTTCAGCTTAAGTTATTATTTTTAGTGTAGTCAATTCATCTGAAAAGAACAAATTATTTAAAATTATTCTAACTCAGAAAATTATTATTTCTTTATGAACTTTATTCTATCTTCTTATCTTTTATTATTCTTCACACAAAAATTATTGTCGATACAGAGTCAGATTCTGCAATTTGGGGCTCTTAAAAATATTTAATAAATTTAATAATAGGTATGCTTAGTGTAATACACATACATTTGTTTCATAATTTCTCACAAAAGAATAAACTACATTAAGCATAATTATTATTAAATTTATTAAAAGTTTTTAACAGCTAAATTGCAAAATCCAACCGATCCATATCCGACTTACTGTTACTGTAAAAATGTAAATAACAAATGTTACCGTTACCGTTACAAACAAAAAAGTAACAATTGTTATCGAAAAAAGTAACGGTAACAGTTACAAATAACGCGTTATTTTCCAACTCTAATAACATCTTCCATCTTCCATTGCGAACATTTACACTCAAATCTAATAGGAGTGCCGTAAAACGAACAGTAGCATCTCTTCATTATATATTGAATAATTGTATGACTTGTTTAGTAAAGTTCATAGATTTGTTTCGCAAACTTCAATTAGTTCCTCATACTCAAACTGACGTGATATAGTTTTGTGTGCTTGCGTCACAGACACCCTGTATGCATATTACTACTACCATTTTCGTATTAGACAACCGAAAAATATGATTGAGGCAAAAAATCACTATAATCTTAGATCAAGCATTTCTTTCTCTCTCAGCGTTAAAGTAATGCCGATCGGGATAAATGCATGCTCACCCGGGGTAAAGACCGGATTCCGTAAAAGTTCACCGCCGCGCACCGACTTGTTCATTGCAGCGCGCTCATATGCTGCGGCGCGCTTCGCGCAACAGCGAACATCACGAACACCTTATTACGTTTCCCTCACTTTTCCCCCGTGGCACGGACCGCTAAGTTATGCTCGCACGCCAGCCGATAAAGTTAAAGTCTTTCTCCCCGCGGTCTCACCGGGGGTCTCGTAGCTACTTCCCCGGCCAACGGCGCGAAAGTCTATCCGCGCACGGGGATGAGTCGCGATTAAGAGGGGAAGGCCTTCTCTTGGAGCTCGCCGACTTTCTTGTTTTCTTTTTTGTTCTTCTTTTCTTCGTTTTTCCTCACCGAGAGACACACGAGCCGTCGTCGCACCTCGCCCACATGAACGTCGATAGTTTGCTGTCGCGTTTATCGGCGCGTCGCAGCCGCGACGGCGAGGACGACGACGACGACGACGACGACGAACGGCCGTCGCGTAATTGTGTGTCCGCGAGCCTTAAAGCTCGTCGAGGAATGACGTGTATGTCGTGTATGTGTATGTACGACCTTTTTAAATCGTTTCTATTTACGGCCCCGGGCCAACCCGCAGACGGGCGAGAGGAGTATATTCGAGCGGGGTTGCCTGAGAGCGGGCGAGGAGTGGCTAGAATTGAACCTCGTGCCCGTCGCTGGCGCCGTGGTCAGCACTATGGTTCTGCAGGTATTCTTTCTCCCCCGTCTCCAGTCCCCATGAAAAACTATCGGCCGCCAAGCTGGGAAGCCGGAACTTTCTCCGCTCGCTCTGATCGAGCCGCGCGAATCTACAACGTCGGTCGATCGTTCCTTCCGCGGAAATGTATTACTCGAGATAATTGAGATAAGTCATTGCGCGCTCACCGGCCAATTCCGCAGTTCGAGTCGTCGAGATACCGGCAAAAATACGAATCGTCGCGTTCGCAAACGTCTCACACAGTGATGAGGCATTAGCGATCTAAGGTAGAACTTACTTAACCCGGAAGTGGGCGCGTATCGGTCATTTCGACCGAAATATATTTAAGCACATGTATGTGTGTAATAATTAAATAATAATTAACAAATTATCAATCCAATTATTTAAAAAAATATAATAATTGAAGAAAATAATTTTATGATGTCACTATTTCTTCTTTTTCCCATCTTTTTTTCTCTTTACCATTTCTATATCTAATATGTTTAGGAAACATATTAAACTTATTATACATATGTGAATATATTAAAAATAAAATCATAATATTTTTATTTTAATTGCATTAGTAAAAAATGACATTCTTTTAGTTTAATAAAATAAAATAAGAATTTCTTGCTTCTCTCGTTTTACTTTGATTAACTTAAACATTGATTTAATAAATTTATAAATAGAGAATAAATCTTCTTGATTTAATGGCAATATTAAAATTATCATATTATGTATTATTTTAATAATTCAAGTATTAATTTTAATAATATCGCTCAAGAATATACTCCAATTACGCGTGCTGTTGAAAATTTTATTGATTCAATAAAAAAAGAGAGAACGTCCAACTACGATGTCGGAAAGACAATAGACGTTCGGTGGCACATCGACGCTGACGCGGCAGAGATAAAAGACTAACGTTAATAGGCGCGCTATGGTTTTTTAGACCGACTGCTAAAAACATATCAAATTTCACATAGAAAGAAGCGCGTCTACGTCTTCTACTTCTCCATACTATACGAGAAAATACTATCAAAGAAAATTTACGTAAAAGCAAAAATACGATAATGTCAATAAATTAAATGATATAAGTAGAAAACGAAAAAGTACGGGGAAGTGACCGATACGCGCCCACTCCCGGGTTAATAATTGATAAATGAGCAAAGTCGTTGGTGCAAATTTGTACCTGTGTGTCTTTGGTGTTTTCCACCAGATGCGTGTATTCGAAGAGTTAAACATTGTTTATTCAGTATAATGAAGACTATACTATATCTAGTTAGTCTTGAACCTTTCCTTTTGAACACCCTACATATATTCTATATTTGGAAAGTTTAAATATTCGTATTTAAAGACCAAAACAGTAAGAATGTCCAGAATTCAAGTACTAATGTTGTTAGTGTCCAGACATTGGTACTTTTATCTTAGTATCGTGTACAAAGCGGGTTTGCAAGTAATTAAGTACTTTTTTAATTAATTATCATGTTTAATTGACGACTGAAGTATGTGCCAATTCAATTGGAGGTAGTTTAATTGACAATTGATTTCAACAAATTCAATCAAAGGCCGATTGACGATTAATTTCAATGAATTCAATTAAGGACCATTCAATTGACGATTGATATGAGCAAAGAGAATTAAGAATCGTTCAATTAATAATTGAGCTTAGCAGATTTAATTAGAGGCCGTTTAATTGATAGAACAGTAAGTTTGATTAAATACCGTTTAATTGACGACTAATATGAGCAAATTCAATAGATTTAATCGAAAAAAGTTTGATTATTTAAAGTTACATATGGCTTTGTGGATAACACAGGAAAAAAATACAATATTTTGTAGATAACACAAAAAATAAAGTCTTTTTACCGTAAAGAGGAGCCAATATTTTTTATGTATTTCAACGTGCTGGAAAAACCAAGCATGACTTTTAAAGTAACATATAGTAATACGTAAAGTTTTTGCTATAGAAGGTTTAAAATGCTTAAAATTAAGCATTTTTTTATATACATTATAGGACATACATCCTGCGATTAAATTTTCTTAGCTTAGAAACAATAAACATGTACATTTATGTGTTGAAAGATATAAAACTTTTTAATAAGCGAGATATTAAGTTATATATACAGTGTTTTTGATTTCCATAAATCCTCTTGCCTCTCACGTACGGAGTGCTTCATTTTCGTGAGTCCTCGGCTTCTCACGTATAGGATATTAACGATATTGTACATCGATATAATTTAATATCTCGTTTATTAAAAATGTTGTATGTCTCAACACATAAATATACTATGTACAATATGCAAAAATACCTAATTTTGAGCCTCTTTTGTTTGTTATAACAAAAACTCGATGTGCTACGTTATTTTAAAGATCATATTTAATTTCAGTACGAAAGAAATAAACAATAGTGTCCTTTTTTCAATAAAAAGATCTTTTATTTTGTTGTGGTCTTGTGTAATACTTAGCACGGACTGCTTATTACGGAGCACGAGAAACAATCTTTGATGCCCTTCCCTCATATCAATTAACGGTCTTTAATTAACTTCGTTGATATCAATCGAACGGTCCTCGGTCGAATTTGTTGAAATCAATTGTCACTTAGTCGAATTGAAACATGTTCGTTCACAAATCAATTATTAAATTGGGGAGGATTTAATTGACACTTTTACAACTCTGACGCGAAATTTACCAAGGTTCGTTGTACCCGACATGTGACATCGGCGAAAGCGCGCTTCCGCCTGCCGATATTCAACGCGCTATTACGCATCGCGACTTTGTCGACCGCGTTTCGCCTTGTTCACCTTTCCCAGAGCGCACGTGTGAAAATTCCGGACGCGCTCTCGACGTGGTACGCCGATCGATTCGCTTTTACAACGACAACGACGACGACAGCGACGGCGGCGGCGGTACAAAGACCGGAAAGAGTAAACTTCGATAAGAAACGCCGGGCGAACAGAGAGCGATCGACCGAGCGATGCAAAGCGGTTTTACCGTTAAAGCCCTAATTCCATTAAGTGATGCTCAAGCGCGCGCGCGCGCGCGGCCGCAGCGATGACATAACCGACTCTAAACACTCCGCGAAAAAGTCGAGGAAGTGCCGGAGTTTCCCAGCTTCTTGGTGCGTCTCAAGTAGTAGGCGACGCAGTCGCAGCAGTCTACAAACGTGGTCGCATGTATATTTAATAATCTAGACGTCACAAAAGTGTCCTACGTTGCGTCCCGGAACCACCGGATGTCTTTTTAATCGTGGATTCTCCCGAGTCGACATGTTGATCCTACTTTCGACCTCAATGTTCCACTTCAAGCCTACTTTGATACTCTGTAATCCATATCGATCTCTTTTGATTCTCTTTAATCTTTTAATTTCTCGTTAATAACGATTCTCGTTAATAACTTTGCCAAGAGGTCCTCTTTAGAGGACTCGAGAGCACTTTGTGCGTTCTTTGCCATTTAGAGGCGCTGAGTGGCATTTCAGTTTCCACATGTATGACGATGAGACAAAATATATTTAAGGAATAAAAAAAGTATTTATTGGGATAGATACTAATATTATAATATTATAATATTTACCTATACTAATGCAAAATAAGAGAATACATGACAATAAAAAGTTAAGAAAACATTTTCTTAATCTTAGCTTTTCATTACTTACTGTAACTGTTTATTCCATTTAAATAACAGATTTAGATTTAAGTAAATATATTATTATAATTTAGATTTAAATAAATATGTTATTAGTATCTACAGCGAAAATAAATATTTTCTATTTTTTATATATTTTTTCTCCCAATGTATTAAACTATATAAATACAGATCTTTCAGATTATAGATGTTAGAAGGTCGAAAGTAAAGCTAAAATTTCGACTCGGGCTTCGGAAAAGATTCACAATTCGTGAGCATTTCGGGGTGAGTGTCGTTGTGAAAACGAATGTCTCGCGTTCACGGTCTCCGGCGGTTTCAGGACGCTTCATGTATAAATTCGATAGATCGTTTTGTTTCTCGTTCTATTTATGCCGTATTGTCCGGTTGAGAGGTATGCTCGTTTCACTGTCAGATATATCACGATCAATGCGTGCGCTTAAGCGCGTCTCGCCGTTGTATGGGTCGCATGACAAGTAAGTACCAGCGAACGCGTAATGCGTATTCTCGGCGATGAGTTCGTGTATATATATATACAATATACGCGGTGACTGCGAGACGATCGATAAGTAGGTAAGTACGTATACGTACATAGATATCGCTTTTAACTGAGAGAGAAAAAGAGGAGACGTCGCGCGTACGAACGCGCGATATTGTGCATGGAATAGCGTGGAAGTGTAACGACCCGGAAGAATGCTATGTCCTACATAACGAAACTCGAAAACGCGTCTCGCATTATTATCGATTTATTTACGCGCTCGCGGCCTACCGTGGAAACTTAATATTATATGCGATATGCGCATTGGTCGCGCGTGTGTGTGCCGATTCTACTTCGTAAAAATCGGATATATCGAATGGGCGCCAATTTGGATATCTGCCGGAAGACTTTCGCAGCAAAGATTTCCAGTGGATAGAATTGCTTTGGCGAGTGTTTGTTTTTCACATTATTTTTTATTACACACGCGTAGTTGCAGCGCAAGGCTTGCTTTAAATGATCTGTATACTTGGCGAAAATTCGGGAACTCTACACGGAGAGAATATTTTTATAATAATATATGTAATTCTCTTTCTCAAATTAAATCTTTCAATTGTATCATCTCTCTCTCTTTCTTTCTCTCTCTCTCTCTCTCTCTCTCTCTCTCTCTCTCTCTCTCTCTCTCTC